AGAACACGTCAATTCCAAGCTGAGGATTGATCTCATACTCCTCCACTTTTTCTACTATTCTTCTTTGTATTGGACTGATGAAACCACTGTGGGGGGAAACATTTCCTCAATGATTCCCAAATGTTGCACAAGTGTCTCATTTTTCAACTTGTCGGTTTTCTAAACCAATCATCCCACAACGATGATCCTCTTAATATCACTCGTTCCCTCTCGGTTGAAATACTGCTGTATGCTAACGGCCCCCTTCAAGGCATGAGAAACAACATTAACAGAAAACGTAGTCTCTTCACTTCCCATATAAATTCAGTAATCTAAACCACTAAGAACGCTTAAAATCCATTGAGGTGTATTCCCTGAAACATAGGCAAGAAATATACTTCATAATATATATTTAAAATTTTGGGACTGATCCTAAACCTGCATACTAAATTCATAAGAACATAAGAAAGGAGGCACACTGCAGGAGGCCTGTTGGCCCATACTAGGCAGGTCCTTTACAATTCATCCCACTAACAAAACATTTGCCCAACCCAATTTTCAATGCCACCCAAGAAATAAGCTCTGATGTGAAAGTCCCACTCAAATCCAACCCCTCCCACTCATGTACTTATCCAACCTAAATTTGAAACTACCCAAAGTCCCAGCCTCAATAACCCAACTAGGTAGACTGTTCCACTCATCAACTACCCTATTTCCAAACCAATACTTTCCTATGTCCTTTCTAAATCTAAACTTATCTAATTTAAATCCATTACTGCGGGTTCTCTCTTGGAGAGACATCCTCAAGACCTTATTAATATCCCCTTTATTAATACCTATCTTCCACTTATACACTTCGATCAGGTCTCCCCCTCATTCTTCGTCTAACAAGTGAATGTAACTTAAGAGTCTTCAATCTTTCTTCATAAGGAAGATTTCTAATGCTATGTATTAATTTAGTCATCCTACGCTGAATGTTTTCTAATGAATTTATGTCCATTCTGTAATATGGAGACCAGAACTGAGCTGCATAATCTAGGTGAGGCCTTACTAATGATGTATAAAGCTGCAGTATGACCTCTGGACTTCTGTTGCTTACACTTCTTGATATAAATCCCAGTAATCTATTTGCCTTATTACGTACGCTTAAGCATTGCTGTCTTGGTTTAAGGTTGCTGCTCACCATAACCCCCAAGTCCTTTTCGCAATCTGTATGGCTAAGTTCTACATCATTTAACTTATAAGTACTAGGGTTATGGGCACTCCCGAGCTTCAGAACCTTGCATTTATCTACATTGAACTGCATCTGCCACTTTTCTGACCAAGAATAGAGTTTGTTTAAATCCTCCTGAAGTTCCATAACATCTACGTCTGAATCAATTATCCTACCTATCTTTGTGTCATCGGCGAATTTGCTCATATCACTAGTAATTCCCTCATCAAGATCATTGATATATATTATAAACAACAACGGGCCCAAGACTGATCCCTGTGGAACGCCACTTGTTACAGATCCCCACTCGGATTTAACCCCATTTATGGACACACACTGCTTCCTGTCAGTGAGCGATGACTCGATCCACGAGAGCACTTTTCCCCCAATGCCATGAGCTGCCACTTTCTTTAACAGTCTATGGTGCGGAACTCTATCAAAAGCCTTACTAAAATCTAAGTAAATATCAAATTCTTTATCGTGGTCAACAACCTCAAAAGCTTTACTGAAGAAAGTTAATAAATTAGTTAGACAAGACCGGCCTCTTGTGAATCCATGCTGAGTATCATTAATCAAGCTATGCTTATCGAGATGGCTTCTTATAATCTCAGCTATAATTGACTAGTAATTTGCCTACAATTGAGGTCAGGCTTATTGGGCGGTAATTTGACGGTAACGACTTGTCCCCTGTTTTAAAAATAGGAATTACATTAGCCATCTTCCACATACCAGACACTACACCTGTTTGAAGAGATAAATTAAAAATATTAGTTAATGGTTCACAGAGTTCCATTTTGCATTCCTTAAGAACCCTTGAAAAAACCTCATCAGGACCCGGCGACTTATTTTGCTTCAGTCTATCTGCTTCACAACCATTTCACTAGTGACTTCCCTATTGAAGCAAGAGGCTTGGCAGGCTTGCAAAATACCTCTAACAAAAAGCAGGGGAAACGATGGGTACAGGAACAATATGTAAAGTAAAAGGACACAAGTGCAACTAATGTGACATTTTATTGTGGCAACGTTTCGCTCTCCAGGAGCTTTATCAAGCTTGATAAAGCTCCTGGAGAGCGAAACGTTGCCACAATAAAATGTCACATTAGTTGCACTTGTGTCCTTTTACTTTACATATTGTCGGTAATTCTACCAACTTTATTACAGGAACAATACATGAAAGGGGTTCTAGATTTTTCAACAACCTTCCGCCATGCATAAACAAATCGTCAGCAAACCTCTCACTGTCTTCATGAGGAAACTTGATAGGTTCCTTAAGTCAGTTCCTAATATGCGGGGCTGTGCTTAAGTCAGTTCCTAATATGCGGGGCTGTGCTAAATATATTAGGCTGCAGG